ATGATGCTGGCCGCTGGGCGGTGGTGGATTGGACAAGAGGCTTTCCAGAGCTGATGTTCATGATGCCGGGCGGCGGATTGGAAAAAAGGCTCCCCAGCTGATGCTCACGATGCTGTGGATTGGAAAAAGGCTTCCAGCTGATGCTTATGATGCTGGCCGCTGGGCTGTGGATTTGAAAAAAGCTTTCTTTCCGCCTGATGCTGCTGGCTTTTGGCAAAGAATGACAATAGGAGCCTGGTGATTTCAGAGGTTTTCTTGTGGAATGATGTCTCCATCTTGCACTTGCAGAAAGCCTGGCCAGATGCTTGTAAGTTGCACGTATTTGCACCCTCCATGCCTAGCTTCAACAACCAAAGTCCAATGGCTGAGTTTCTGAAGCACAAATTCCACTCCCTCACCCCTCTGAATCCTGCAACCTTGGAACATTCTTCCGATATCTTCCTATCTATCTGCTGCCGGAGTGGCGCACGACAGCTTGGCGCCGCAGCGCGGCTAAAGCCCCGCTGGATGCAGAGCCTGCTTCCAGGTCCTCTGGGAAGCATGGCTATGCAGAAGAGGGGTCTGAGTGCTCTATGTTAACCACCCTAAGTGACGACGACAGCATGCCCTCCCAGAGTCTCGTAGGCAGGGCTGGGAAAAAAGAACAAACTTACTTTGTCACTGCAAGCTTGCCAAATGAGTCTTACGTTGGATGTACGCCGCATTCCGGAGCAAAAAAGGCTCGTGTGTGTGGCTTAAGCAGATTAATGAATCAGGGTCAGCATTTTGGCGAAGATGATGAATACGCCTGCTTTTTTAGAATGGCGAAGTGGTCACTTGATCCAAGAAGAGTTAGAGGCACGCCTACCAGATTGACAGACCTGAAAGAATGGGCGTGGAGATGTGCTTTCTAAATCTCCTAAATGTCCGTGCAACTGTCCAAGTTCGTTTTCATTTGATTCTCCAATAAGTCCCTATGAAACCCCTAACATAGCTGCGGGGCGGTTCTCAGACTCGCCATGGAAGCATACAAATAAGAGAAAGACATGCAAAGCCTTCGAACGCAGCAGCCCGAATGTGTACTTAAGGCTGAGTGGAACCTTGTTGCAGAAGACTTCACCACCACACCAGACGTCACGAAAAGGAGAGCAAAGGAGGAGTTGCCGTGTGAGTTTCTGGAGGTCCTCTGCTGCATTGGCAACCGCGAGGATGATCGCCTCCTGAAAGCACAGATCATGGCCATTTTGCCCGCCTATTATTAACCCAATATTGGGGTCAGCCTACTTCTGGGTTCCTCTCTACGAAAGCCATGCCAACGAATAAAGCTCAGCAATTGAACCCTTGACCCAAGGGGTGGAAGTTCCAGTATATCAGCCGGATAAGCCCTCCTATGAGCTGTTGTCTTCCACTTCCGGAACCCCAGCTTCAGAATATCTCGTGCGCCACATGCTGGTGGGGCTGGCCTCGCTCTCTTAATCCTAAATGCAAATGCTAAATCAAAACCGACCTCCTCTTCGGCAGGCCCAGAAGGGGCTTCGCCTCTAGACTTCACAGACGCCTGCAATTGGAAAGGGCTCATAACACTCATGCCGTCAAGGGTAGAGATGAAGGAACTGATGCAGGTTTTAGTAGCGAGAACATAAGTGCCTCGGATGGCTTGAGAGTTGCAGGTTTGCCGGCCCACAGAAGCAATGCTGCGCTGCTGCTGCTGCTGCTGCTGCTGCTGCTCCTCCTACTACTACTACTACTACTGCTACTACTACTACTACTGCTACTCACTTTCGCGATGGGAGTTCCAACCGCATCCCGAAAACTGCAAATACCTGCTGCAGGATACTTGAACGGATTCGCTTGTAATATGAGCTTAGAGGCAAAATTCGTTGCAATCTGTACCCTGCTTGGTAAGCAACTGCAAGTGCGCATGAAGACAAGCTTGATGCTTCACCAGATGCCAGATACGAGCTTTTAAATCAGATCACCCAAGTAGAACGGAGTGCCATAAACAGGTCATACTTGGGGGCCAGTCTCCCACGGTCTGCCTGCGTAACTCGGTTTTGCTTGAAAATCACAAGTTGCAACGCCAGTTTTTGCAGTTTGCAGCTTCCCACGGCCTGAAAGCCGATATCTTCCACTGCTTCCAGTACCCGATCCACGGCCTCCTGGCGGGGCGTTGGTTCACTTCAGGCACACAACATTTGCCAAATCAGGGGTCCATGCAAGGGACTCAACTCAGATGACCAAAAGCACGTGCCCAGGTGTTCGTGGACTTCGTGAGGCCCGAGAGGCTGTAAAATGGATCTCACCTCACTCGCTTCCTTGAAGGCCGCCTGAGCTGCCTTCAGCTTCATGTTGATGTCACCCTACATGAGCGGACCACCCTGAAACTCCACCTGCACGATCCCATAGTAGCTAAGTGATATGTACACATCAACAGAACTGACTCTAATGCACTTTGTCGCTGGACATGTTGCAAAACAAGTTTGGGAGTAAACCTGTACCCGAGAAAGAAAGTCTCGCGGGCAATTCCACGAGGACACCATACCTTATTCTATCTGACATTTGTGAAGTGCGTTTTTGGTCCTGCATCATATGTCTAGAAAATTACTTTACACCACAGAGATAGCTAGTCCAAGAGCCGTATTGAAACTGCACGCATTCACCACATCTACTTCAAAAACATGCAGCTTATGCATGCTTAAGAATGTTTTGCCTAATTCCGGACTGCAAATTGTCCTTGGCAGACACCTTCAGACGCACGGATGCGGACTCGGCAAGAAGGTTCACAGACCTTGGAAGACAGCTTGCAAAAGAGTCTCCAAGACAGCATGCCTGCACTCCGTTCCTATCGCAACATGAATATTTACGTCCCTCTGTCTGCCCCAGTCTGGCCCCGCCAAACTGCTCAGAAGCACTGTGCTCCCCACAAAGGCTAAAGAAGGAAAAGGGGACAGATCCGGGGCATGTACACTCAGAGTACGGTTACATGTTCACGGCCCTCTTTCATGTGCCTGCAACAACCGCGAAGGGGCTGTCGACAAAAACTGTCATCTTGACTGCCACGCTGCAAGTTGAGGCAACATCCCTGCAGGCACTGGCCTACCGTTCCAGAGCTTACTTCAATTCTTGGCAACTGCCAGCTAAGAGATTGAAAAAAAGTTGTCAACCCTAGCGCCAGCCACAGGAACTTCGAGACAACACCCCGCCTGTTGTCGTTCCAAGTGGCATGACTAGCGCCTGTCTTTACGCCCTGAACATCCTCGAGGCTGAAGCCTGCAGCTGTCAGCACAGGCAAGCTGAAGCCAAGCAGCACGTCTTCAACCACATCCATGGCCCGCAGGGCCTCACGTCATAAGAGCATAGCCATATTTGATACAGTCAAACAGGTCGAGATCAATGAGGTCAACTTTGCATGTCTGGGAGGTGATTGATAAAGCACAATTTTAGGATCTGGCCAAGCATCCTCAACGAACTAGTTTACTTGTTCGCTTGCCTGCATGCGAGTTCCACCCTTCACCCAACCCCCCATGCAACATCGTGCGAGGTTGATAAATAATGACAAATAGTTTCAGGCTGCGACCCTCTCCACAGCGGCTACGCAAGATCCGCAGGACATGCCGAGCACTTCCTCAGTGGGGCTTCTTGCCCCTCTTTCGCAATGCGAGGCTTCAGGGCTGGGCTTGTATTTGGCGTTCAGCAGAGATCAGCAAAAGATACGCAAGGAGTCTTGGCGATGACTCCTGCAGTGTTGAGGTATGCTGTGCAGCTGTATCTAACTTGATCTTGAGAAAAAAAGCGAAGCATCCCGCATGCAGAAAAAACCTGTACAGCAGTTTCGGCTGGAGCCATGATCAAGATTTCTGGTTTGGCGGATGCAACTGTCTTCGAAGCCATCTCAAGAAAAACCGTCGAATAGGCCAACAAGTTCCTGGCTTCTGAAAGAACATCGAGAAGAAGCACAAACAACAATTCTGTGCACTACGCTGTCCCTTTGCGGATAAGTGCACTGCGGAGAGCCAACTGCGAGTCGCGTCCCAAGAAGGTGCCAGACCACCACACATTTAAAGTGGCCAAGATTCCAACTGGAGAATGTTGGAAATGGTCTGAGGTTGACCTTCAGGCTCCGGACTTTACGGACTTTACGAAGGCATTGGCTGAATGCGTGGACTCTTGGTCTAGGATGGGTTTGGAAGTTCAAGGACTCAGCTTCTGAAAAAATGGCAGGCCTTTGGTCTTTACTCTTGAATCAACGAACATGCGGCTTGGGATTTGCTATGTGTGCTCTTGCGCGTTGTGCTTGCCGAGCTCTTGAATGCTGCAGCTGATGTAAGCAAACCAGCGTCATGCTGACGAAGTCGAAATCCACAACGAATTCATATGTGGCAGGCTCGGAGCAGTAGCTGTAGCCATGATCAAGAAGCTGCGCGCACCAAACCCTCTCCAATCTGCAAGATCATACCCCTCCAGGATGTCCAGCCTCTGCACTGGACGCTGTGCATCCTTGTAATTTCAAAACTCCTTACACAAACAAGCTGCCCTACACTTCAATCCACAACCCCGCTGTCCTTATGCTCAAACCCTCAGCCTGACGATGGCTCTGAACCTAAGTAAAGTAGCATTCTCACCTCCAAGGATCTTGGGTCCAGGCGCTCTGGCATTTTTGTGACCGTCGCCTGAAGCCCCTTCGCCACAATGGCCTGAACTGGCAAAGCACAGCACTTCATGGAATTGTGGGCTTAAGGCTTCAGGTTCACAGCCTTGGAACTTCACGCTCTAATCACGATTCAATGTCTAGAATCTAGAGCTTGAAACCTCCAGCCCCAATCTCCTGAAGCTGAAAGGCTACTTTGCAAACCCCAAAACAAACGCGCCCATGCTCCCCACACGCACCCCAATTGCAAAGATGCTGTCCACTAGAATCGACTGACATGGTCCGGGTTCTCTGAGATTTTCTTCCCGGCGTCAAAAATTGTGAGCAGCGCTGCAGCCCATAGGCAAAATCAACGTGCCCTGTGATACGCTCCAGTGACGGCATGCTCATTAGCTGACGATGGCTTTGAGATACGCTACTCAGCACGAGATCATACTAATGCATCCAGTTCATTACCAGCACCCAATGTCCATGGCATCTTCACATTCCCGACATCATGCATTTACACTGCCCGTAAGCTTCCACATCCCTGCCTGCCGAATATTCTCAGCGAGGGCGTCCAGGTCTCCATCCTTTGGAGCTCGCAGCGAGACGCTGGCGGACTCGGACAAGAGATTCCTTGGGCTGGCTTGGAAAAGCCCCCTGCAGCCTAGAGCCTGAGGTTTACTCCAGGCTCTAAGGCCTCTCTGGAATTGTCTACAGAAAGCTCGGCGACGGATACGGGCTTTCCATGCTGGTGCTGCTGGTCTTAATAACCCTGATATGGATCCTTCTTTTCAGCGATGTTCTGCGAATGGATTCTTCTGCTGCAGTGTGTATACCCTGAGTTTGACACATGCGGGAGCCCTAGTGAGGCTGCCTCAAGTGCAACCATGGCTCACACGGACGTCGATCAGCTCGCTGAGGTCCAAGCCACGCACAGCACGCTCTACCTCTTTAAGTGCAGCGAGATTGAAGTCAAGATACAATACAATGCCTACTGCAAGAGGCATGGTGACTAGAGAGAACGAAGCTCAGCGATTATGCTTGCATAGCTGTCGCTTGAAGAACAGGCTGTTATGGACATCTCCGTCTCTTACACATGCTCCGGAAGGGATTTTCTGAAGTTTGGTTCGCATGAAAGCCCAAAGCCTTGGGGCACTTCTATCACGATACTCCAAACGCTGCAGAGTTCGAACAAAACAATTCCTGATCCGGAACCAAAACTTTGACATGAAGGTGCTTTGAGAATATTGCACGAAGACAAGAGCTTCCAACATTGTTCTTGGAATGCTTCCTGGACTGCCACTTTGATGACTCGTCTATCAATGTAAAACTCTGCACACAGTCTCCACAAGCCCTTGAAATTCAAATGCCCCACCGTAAGCTTGAGGAAACCTACCAAGCCTACACAGGACCTACACATGCTGAAAGCACCGCTTACACCCTGACCCTCAGAGGCCTTGCTGACGCAGGACCCGCACTTCATGCCCAGGACCTCAAACTCAACCTTTGGTAGCGCAGTGATTAGAAACCAGTGGAGGGAGCTACAAAGTCAGGGCGACTAGAGGCTTGGCTGTGTAGGCCTGATCAACATGGAGATGGTGCTGGGAAAGAACCCATGGCCCCTACATGTCAGATGCGACCAGCATAGCTTGATTAGTATTGCTGGGGCTACCCTGAGGCCTACCTTCCTTGTGAAGACAAGATAAGCCTGGTACACGCCGCCCAAGCAACATACATATGCCTTACAAATTTGGACGTGCTGGGGGCGGCAACCCCCAATGATTCTCATCCACGCTGTCACCACAAGCTTTTAATGACAACACCAACCAAGCCAAGACCAAAAAAAGGGTTGCAAACGACGACATGCGGCAACATAAGACCCCCCTGTCTAGATTAATCTCGTTCACAAAGTCATCGCCAGCAGGGGTTGAGCTGCCGACCTCCAGGGTAGACATTCCTTCAGCAGTGGCAGCAGCCTCGGGCATCTTTCAGTCATCGTGTTCTTTAGCTTACACCTTCCGAGTACAACATGCATATTGTCGTACAGCTAATCGTGGGATTCTGGAGAAATCTGTACTATATGCCCTGTCCTCATGACCAACTCAGGCTGGCTGAAACATTAGTCTCCAAGCACGGGCTGAAAAATGCAAACCAAACCGAAACCCACGGAAGCCCCAATCGCTAACAATCTCCATCCTAATTGTCAGCCACCTCGGACAGCAGCGGCGAAGCCATCTGTGTAGATGCTAAGGCCGCCATGTTGGGAGGAGCAGTGATCCCTCTGTTGGGGATGTGTGGGGCCCACTGGATAGCCAGATGCTATCGTCAGGTCACAGCTTGTTCCTTGGAGTATGTGCAGCCTAAAGAGAGAAAAGCCGGCAACTTCCTTCAAGAAGACAAGCCCCCTCAACTGTGGACGGGGACTGATGGGGGCCTCTGCCTTTCCACAAGCCCTAGCCTAGATCTATGCTGTTTGATCGACTGACCATATGCACACCCGTCGCCACAAACAGAAACAATCAAGAATCCTGCTAGCACAAGTAGGGCAAGCCACGTTCAGAGAAGCCGTACTTGTAATCATCAAACGTCCCATCAACAGGGTAAACACGAGGAGTTGAGGCCTGAAGCTTCCCAGGAAGCTTTTATTAACCTCTGCGTTACTTCATATGGTCCTGCACTTACAGAATTGTCCGGTATACTCTACGTGCTACTTGGCTTGTCCGGTGTCGCCTCCCAAACAAACTGAGATGACCCTCAAGCATCAGGACCCTCCAAGATGCCCCCAACAATTTCATAGGGGTAGTCTGTACGCGTAATAGTGAGCAAAAGCTGTTGGGCCTGAGAATCCCAGCTACACTGACTTGGAAGCCTAAGAGCCTTACTTTTGAAGCTTCTGAAGCTACTACCTTGCAGGCTCCCTCATGCATCCTCAAAGAAAATGACCATGCGCAGGGCCTGGGCAATACGAACCATAGCACGGCAAGAAACAAGTATTGCACGAACTTCGGTATTTTGGCGGCGGCGACACGTAGTGCTGTAGCTGCATGGTTTCTTGATCCAATCCTTGGCCCATCCCGATTGCAAGCGGTTCGCGTTGCCACGCATGGCAACGTGCTCCAAGCCATCTTGACCGGCTCGGATGGGATCTCATATCTTCCCTGCAACATGGCAGCGCGAACCGACAAATGACTTTGGTCCAAGGACACTGCGGCGGCAGTACGAAACGTGCTTTCACAGCCACTACATGTCTCTGCTGCCAGCATGCCGAAGTCCATGCAGTCGGATCCTACCCCATTAGGAGTCTTGCTGGTGGATGCAGCTGTAACGGTTCAATTTCATGACGCGTACCATGGACGAAGATATTGCGGAAATGTTCTGATGATAGTTAGCTGCTCCAATCCCTGCAGACATGTCTTCTTGACACAGACTTTCACTCGTGCGGATGCTTTGCATCTGTTCACGTTGTGCAAACACGATTCATGGTGGACAAAGACGCACGGCAGAAGCTATCGCAACAGAGCTACTACGTAGCACAAGAAAGACCATCTCTACTACGTCCATTCAGGTCATGAGCTTTTTCCTGGAATTGATGAGATGTCCTACATCCCACCATCCCACCGCAACAGCTACCCACCACCAGGTCCGACCCAAGTCTTTTCGCGATGTGGCCACTGCGCCAAGGTCCCAAGTGGCGGTCGCAGCCGTTTGGTCCTGGGTAGCTGTTATTCCAGTCCACATAACGGCCATAGAGTCCACTGCCATAGATGTGCATAATGGGCTTTCTTAGCAGACGACAACAAGGTATAAGGATACGCTTTCAAAGCTTCAAGGGCCCGGTGGTGAGGAAATCAGAAAAGGTGGCCTTACAGCAAGGTGCAGCCCATTGACACCGACACATAGAGACTGCTGACTCTTGACTGGGGCTCAGGGTGCTTGGCAAATCGGGCTGCATCATCTTCTACAGAACAAGGCCTGATGGGTTCACCACGTCCGTGGTTGCGCAGCTGGGTTCCTCTTGTTGAACTAAGGCTTTGGCCTCTAATGCTCGTCAGTCCACATGCACATGCCGGTTCTAAAGAACTGCACACCAGTAATGAAGAACGGGGCTCAGCTAAGGTCCCCCTATGGCTGTCTAGGCCTTGGTGCGAAGACCTGCTGCCGGGTGACAAGTAGCAACGTGAGCGGTGCCTGCAAACTGCACTCGCCACTGCCCAGTTCCAGCTACGGGAAGGCTTGCTTCTGCAGCAGGCAAGGCTGGATGTCAACATCTGCATCGTGTTGGCTTTGTACAAACCAGTGCGGTCGTGTCCAAAACGTGCTAAAGGCTGTCAAGGCCGAAGGGACCCACTCTTCAGGCCACCCCTGTAAAACAGTACAAGTGAGTTGGGACTAATATGATTGTAACGTCTAGATTCAGGGCCCACCAGCCCATGTTTCATGCACCAGCACCTCGACAGCACTGCTCAGACCACATTCCCAAGCCCTCCAGGATGTGAGGGGGTTGGTTTCGGGGCCATGGGCCTGAAGTGTGAATGTGTTGGACCTGCCTCCCCACCCCCGCAGCTGTTGCAGGCATCCGCCAAGGCGGGCACAGAGGGTGTCGTCAGCTGCTCCTGGGACAATGTTGTGAAGAAAAACGTGATCAGGGCTCTTAATTGGCTTCTTTGGTGACCTCAGGCAGCCAAACAGAGACTTAGCTTTCCCCACACATTGCTGTATTCTGGGTAGATCAGAACCCAGAACCTCAGCACTCTAAGCAAACAACTCTGTTACATCAGCCTTGTCGTTAAGCTCACAGAACAAGCCACATCACACCCCAAACCGTTGCCCCGCAACCAGGTGTCAAGTCATGCCACCATGACAGCCGGGGTGCGAGAAATTTCAGGCTGTGCCGCCAGGGCAACTGCTGACCTCTTTGGGGATTCTGAGCAGCAGGTTTGCAGGGTGTGAGAGTTGGGGTTTCAGGCTTCAGGCAATCTTCACGTTGCTGCTCAAATGCCGTGCTTTGCAAGGTTTGTGGCAAGTACCAGTTGCGGCACTCAAAGGTTATGAGCCAGAAGCTCTTCGACATGCAGTTGCTCCGCATGCCATTTCATGCTTCCTACGTTGGGACGGCGTCATCTCCTACGTAAAGTCGTCAGATCAAACCTCCCCAAACCCCCCCCAAAAACCTGCCCAAACCCGATGGCTCGTGGCCTGCAGCCAAAGCAGATCGAAGGGTCACCTGCCCAAGCAACAGATCATCTGCTACTGCGATTTCAAGTAAGTGAGGCTTGGACTTGTCGATCTCAAGAACTGCAAGCCGCTGTGCTGCCCACCGCAGTTCCAATCTTTAGCAAAACAGAGACTCATCCGGGGAAGCACAGACAGCCTTGCAACGACATGCCAGAATCTTCGACATGAAGACTAGAATTTCTCAAGTACCGTGTGCCGAGGGACCTTAGGGCTCCATGGGGCTCATTCCCAGAAGCTCCCATACCGAAAGCCCTGCAGCACCTCATCACGGCGCAGCGCGAGGCTGCTGAAAGAGGCAGCGATGTCCGACGCACGGCGCCAAGCGGCAGTGCTGGCAGGCAGAAATTGAAATCATGAAGTCTTTGTTCGCAGGCTCAGCCGGGGGACTGGTTTTGGACTGTGGGGCGATTGGGTGCGAAGGCGATGAAGCTGCCATGAGGTTCTGAAGTGGACACGAGCCGTCCACATCAAGTTCCAATGCTCACAAAAACCTGCAGCCTGTACGAGACGTTCACGCCTTGCCTTGCAAAGGCTGCGACAGCTGAGTTGTAGCCGACCACATCGGGGCGGAACAGCGCACGCCGCATCTTCCTGCAGCAGGGCTTTACCTCTGCTAGGAGCTTGCTGTGATGGCAAGTTAAGACGAGTGACAGAAAGAGAGAGAGAGAGAGAGAGACATATATATATATATATGTAGTCCCCCTTAAGTAGATAGAATATGGGGTATATGGGGACCTTATTATAGGATACCCAAAGCCATATTCTATCTACTTAAGGGGGACTATATATATATATACGTATAATATGCACACATATGTATTTTCATAAATGCGCATCCAGACACGTCTGCCTCTCTGTCCACTCTGTCTTTGCCAGCTTTGTGTGCACGTTTAAGCGGTCATTCGGCTCCCGGACCGCGTGGCATCCGCGTGATTTGATTGTCCATTTGTCTTTTTTCCTCCGGCCTCTAATCCCCAAAGTCTACCTAGCCCCTGCATCCCCGTCGACATCCCGGAGTTACAGTATAGGCCTTTACATTGCACGCTGCGAATCAAGGACGGGAGTCATTTGCGCCCACTCTGTCGTGACAGCGCTTGGGGCCGAAGCCGAGGACACAAAGCTTTTAGGGTTGAAGGTTTAGGGTTGCGGGTTGGCATCGACTTTTGCTGGCATCGACTTTTGCTGGTTGCAAGCCGGGCGGGAAGGAATGGAAAGAAAACGGAAAGTGCAGGTAGGGCTTCGGGGCTAGAGTTCAGGGCTTAACTAAGGCTAGTTAAGGGGGAGCCAGCGGAGGGGTTAGCTTCGGGTGGCTCGGGTGGCTGATTAGGAGACCCCACAGTTCTAAACGGCTGGGGAACTAGGCAGGCAAAAGCCCAAGTGATGAGCAGGTAGCATGAGACCCAACCACCCCCTTGTAATGAATGTTCCCAATGATTAGGGGGAATGTTCATACTTAGTGGCGGGCTTCTTTTTTGGTAGTTTCCCTAAGTACGGGGGAACCTAATATAGACCCCAAAATACTATAAGCCTTATTCTGGGGACCCCCAGAACGGTACCCCCAATTTTGGGAAACCCTCATTTGTTGGAGGAAGGGCTTGCCCTTCTAGGGGGGCCTCAAGGGAACGAGAGATTGGCATTTTTGTGTAGAAACCTTGCATCTTTCAGCAGGATAGTGGTATAGTCCCCCTTAAGTAGATAGAATATGGCTTTGGGTATATTATAATAAGCAGATCGGCTAGAGGCGGGATCAGGACCGCAGCGTTTTAACACTTTTCTGCCAGGTACGATCCTCAACAAGTCCTTTCTCTACTACATGGAGCAGGGAGGGCTAGTCTACTCATAGAGCTGGAAATGCGGGAAAAAAACAACAACACAAAAAAACAAAAACACATAAAACCACAAAAACAAAAACAACACACTATTTGGGATTCTCCAAAAAAGCTTATATACGTCGACATATTCTAAGAGTCCGGATTTTTTTTTTTGTGTGTGTGTGTGTGTGTTTTTGGTGTTGTGTTGTTTGTTGGTTTTGTTTTTGTTCTTTCCGAATTTCCAGCTGCCAGCTAATTATTTACCTACTCTACGTGGTGCCTTGGCCTTGGTCGGCCAACGCTGGTAGCGCTCCCACGAAAATCTGGTGTTTAGTTTCATATGGTTCGACCGGTTCGTATACGTGATTTATGTTTATCGTCGGTTTCCATGATTAGTTCACCCATTCGAGCTTCCCAAACTTTTTCCATTTGGATTAATTCATGCCTGATTTTGTGAGTGCAGGCATGTGATGTATGTATGTTGTTGTTGTTGTTGTCTTGCTGCTCAAATCCACCGAAGATTGATAATGTGACTGCCCGATTCCCGCAGCAGCACGTTTGAATGGAAGTACTACGGAACATCCGTGATTTCCTACTCCGATGCTTTTCCTATATTCCGTAACATTTTTATCTCATGTATATATAGATATATGCGCTTTACTTGCTTAAAGTCTAATATCTTAAGTTCGCAGTTCAAAGTATTTGTTTAAGGACCGCACACGCAGAACCAGATATTCGAGATCCCGCGCGTACCTGTGTATCGTGAGCGCCAGATTGCTGTCCTGCCCGACGGCTACTCAGTTCCATATGTATTAGATAAACTTTTTCCTTTGTATAGTAATACTAATTGTATTATCACATGAATGCTTTCTCCAAAAGACGACTTATCTCAGGTTCCAAAGTGCTGGATGTGAACGACATCGTCCTCAAGTTAACTGATAGTGGCGAGGAGCATCTAACATATCAGGATCTCCTGGAACTGATTGGCTAAGCTAATCAAGCCGTAGTACTGATGAACATGAGTGCACCCTTCGCGAGTGATGGAAAAGCAGGTCTTTATGCATCGAATGCTTTGCTGTTGCAAAGTTAGCGAAGACACATCTCACGTTCATTGCGTTCCAATACTCTAGTATAACAGTTCGCGTGCCTGGACTGGGTGATTGTATGGCAGCATTCCAGCTAGTTGCTAGCACGCACTCTTCTTCCTTCTCTGCCACTCATATCTCTGTCCTCATGGCGAGCTTCCGGGTTGAGGGGTGGCTTTAATGGGGCACTTCCTTTCGATGAGGCATGCGGACAGGTAAGCGGCATGAAGCTCCCAGGGCATGAGCGCCGACCAATGCGTTCGGACCGGGCAAAAGGCGATGTGGACATAGGTTTGCTGCCCGTACGCCAGTTGGAGTCCAGCAACAACAAGCTCGAACAGTTTGCTGATGCTATCATGCACCATCCCCTTAACACTTACAAGTTCATGTGCGAGGGCAAGTTCTGTCAACTCCCACCTCCTTTCAGTCTCAAAAAAGAGCCCTCGGTACCATACACCCTGCAGATCATCATCCAATCTGCTGCACCCCCTCCTAAAGGAGATCCAAATGGAGCATATGTGCACATCTTCAAGCACGTCTACTTGCATCGCAACAAGGTTTCGGCATCGGAGTGTGTGCAAATGTGCTGGAGTAACCCTCTTCGTTTTGATTGGGGCAACCAGCCTCGCGTAGCACTCATGGCTTTGAACTTCATGCTCGACAAAATGGGCGGCAAGCAGGTTCGCTTCTGGCTCATTAAGCCTAAGTACGAGAAGAAGGTCTCACTTGATCAGCAAGCTAGGGAGGACGGGTACAAGTTCATCCGTGAATTCGGTCCTAGGACCAACAATCGGAATCAATTCATGGAGTGGACATATGAGCAAATCAACACTCCTGGTGGTAAGATTGAAGGGTGGTCAGAGGGGAAGGTCAAGGAGGCTCCGCGCAACCATATGCGAGGCAGACAGAACGCCAAGACTCTCGATTACTGGCCCTTCACTTTCAAGTCCTTCACCACGCGGTTCTTTGACAAGGTCTTGGTGAAAATGCTCCCGGCAATGCGGCAGCATGCTATTACCTGGATAGGACGAACTCGTACAGGCAAATCCCTGGGCTCAAAAACCGTCCTGTTCAAGCAGTCAAAGTACGAGATCGACCTGGCTGACCGCAATGACCTGGTAGCATCCATTGTGACTGCTAAGCACTTGGATTTCTTCAAAGCGGAACCACTCCACCAGGTTCAAACTCGGCGTCTTTGACGACGGCATGCTTCAGCGCATGGACTCCTCCTTCCTGAAGGCATTCCTGAATCCGTCTGCGCCTTGAATGTTTTCAGTTAAGATAGAAACATAATATTTTCATTTCTTATTAATGCTTAGACTTCAAGAGTTCATGACAAATCGAATTAATTATATAAGCTAGGATTCCGCATCTTAATGTCTTAATATTAAAGTTCGACGCCAAAAGTTTTGATTATAGTATGTAATTCGGTGTAATTCGTATACAAAGTCTTAAGTATAGCAGCGCGCGCACGTAGGAGGAGGACGCTACCGTATGGGCACGGTATTCCTCAGCTCACTTTGAACAGGGTGCCAGTCGGCATGCCTGCAACAACCCATACGACCGAGCCGAGGATGATAAGGCGTTCGCCCAGATGAAGACTAGCAAGATATGGGAGATCTCGCATCACAACTTTGTGAAATTGATCACACCTTCTTTTAGTGCAGTGGATGAAGTTGAGGACATGGATGCTATCATGGCAAGAACCCACTACATCGTTATCACTGACAATGGGATGTACTACCGCGTGGCAGCCACCACCAAGACCTCCATCAACTTCATTCCTTGGGGGAACGAGCCCAAGGATCTACTTGGACAGTCCCAAGTGGAAATTTTCAAGGCTTACAAGCTCAACCCACATGGGCATCAGCTTCCTCCTTCCTACCATGAGTATTGCGCACGGTCACAGGAAGTTCCTATAGGCGCCTTCTCAATGGTGAAAATGTCCCGCACAGTTACACCATCAACCGTCCCCGAGGCTTGTTTGGCGATGCACTGCACCTTTGTTGCACAAACAGTACCTTAAATGTCTTTAAGTAAGATCTGTTATTTATACTGTATATACCACTTCTTAAACAAAATCACAAACTTTTAATATTTTTGTATTTTGTGTTTAAGACTAACATGCCAGTGAATGTAAGGCCTCCTCAAGAAGTTCGTCCTTCTTTGCTTTCAGAGGAAGCTCTTCGCGTCAGGGTGAAGAAAGAGAAGGTGACACACGCGTTCCGCGCCCTGAAGGAAGGTGGACCCCAAACTTGATTTGGACACCCCCTCACCATCTCCAAGGAAGCGTGCACATGATGAAGCTGATGGTCCCAATGTGTCGCGTTCCAGTAAGAGTGCCCCTGGCGATGCTCCATAATCCTCTACCATTCCCAATAGTATCGCGTGATTATGTACTTGCGTCTTTGCTTCTATAAGGCATTTATTCTAGAGCCCAAATCTTAGGTCTCGATGGTGAAGATGAAGTAGATGATCTCGAGAAGGAGCCGGAGAGAGTCATCGATGAGGAAATGGACTGCAAAATGGATATCGATGAGTAAAGCACCAGTGGTTCACTGTTCTGAGTACATCACGAGCGCGTCTGTGAAATCCCTCGCATCCAGTATGAATTATGGTTATATAATATACGCGAAGAATATCGAAAATATGTTTCGTATAAATATAGGAAACTGGAAGTACAAGAATATGCGGTTTTACGTACTGAAACGCAGGGATGTCACATTTTGACATGCCCGGTGCTTGGGCTACTGGTTGCCATGAGCCCAACCAACATATGCATACGAAACCGGAACTGATGCTGTGTTCTGAATATGATGTTTGGCTTGAATAAGACTACTCGAAAGTAAAGTTGTTGTGCAACTTATATCTATTATGAGCTCTTCAATTATCTCAAGCACAAGTAGTTCGAAATGGCGTCCTTCGCAGATTGGATAGCGTTCCGAAGCGCTACCCTTGCCACAGAGTTTGTGAGCAGAACCCAGTTTCTGGCTACAGTGAGGTTCAGCATCCTTCATGATCCTGCTCGTCTACCAGACTCTGCAGCAACGCGTGCTCTTCTAGCACCTCAAGCGCTAAAGCTGGTACCCGGTGAGCGGGTGTGCCAGGATTGTTCATCATCTTTCAAGCTCTAATTGCCTCAGCCAGCAATACAATGCAACAACTGGCTCCTCAATCACGTGAAGCAGTCCATGTGGACGATGAAGCTCGATTGTTTCATTCTTTGGATTCTCGAGTACCCTCGACAACACATTGTTCTTGAACTACACCCGACTCCACACGAGAGTATCGATGCATGGATTGCTTCATTTCAAGGAACATTGAGCAGTTGGTTCGAGATACAGATGAGTAAGGGATTCGAGGGTGCCCTCTCTCGAGAGATCTTGCGCAAACTTTCTACCTAGTCTTGATAGAGGCAATGAATCCGTATTGCGTTTCCATGGCATAGCTCAACTTTTCCGCGTGGCGTAAAGTTTTGCCTACATGACACAATATCGTGTCACAGCATCACGCAAGTTCTCGAAAACAGTGTATTCGAGTATTGGAACGCTGATTTGCTGACTGAGTGGTCTGCAAGTTGCAGCAGTATCGCATTGAATATGTACTGCATGCGCAGCCAAAAAGCATCAAAACGCTGCGGTCTCGATCCCGCCTCGAAGCAGATCCCAATCTACCCCATAGATTCTATCTACTCAAGGGGGACTGTAGGCATTGAATCAGGGACGTGTACGGGGCTTGTCAAATGTGGTCATTGTTTGGATTCCCTGCGTAGTGCGTCCACAGTGTTGACCATAGTTCTGATGCTTCGACATGGGATGGTTGCAGCATTTCCGTGCACGGTTGACCAAGGCCCCCAAGTAAGAAAACATGTCGATGGGCCAGCTGTCGTTAAGGATACCCTCAACCTTAAACCCTAATCCCTAAATAATGTTTCCTAAATCGCGCGGCTGGGGGTTTTCAGCGGTCCAGCACTTGTGTTTTTTGCCGGTTTGCTGTTTCATCGTGGTGCCCGGGACAGATGATGGAACATGGGGTGTGGCATTGTGCATGTAATTTTCCCCATCGTTCCTTTCAATAAAACTCACGTGCGTCCTTCTTGCCAGTGGGGCTCACACAAACATCATACATCCCGATCGCGTTTTATGCTAAAGCACAGCTTTATTTTGTCAAGTCCTGATGCTTGGTAAGGCATCCCAGTTGAGCATCAGAGTCGAGGGCAAGAGGCATTTGCAATCCGAGGTCGTAGGCCCCAAAGTTACAATTGCTTAGCACCTCACACGCCCCAAAACTTCAAAGCCTAAATCCTAAACCCTAGACCTTAAACTTAGCCTAAACTGTACCCGTTTGCAGAGGACATGGCCGCGGATTTCATCTTTGGAACTGACCTTGAAACTTATTTTGAAGATGGTTATAGGGGTAGAAAGGGTTATATAGGGTTATATATGGTTATGTAGGGTTATATAGGGGTACATAGGGTTTTGGGTTCGGGGTTTGAGAATACATGGGTTTAAGGGTTAAGGGTTTGGGGATGTACTCACACAAACGTGAATAGTTACCAAGATCCTGCTTTCGCGTGCATGGTTTGTTGGAGAACCTGTCCTCAAATCATGTTCAAGAAGTCTAGTCTTCCTCCCAGAGGAGGGGGCCCTGTCCCTCCGAATAGAGCGTATGTTTCCGAACGTCGGATGTTTAGGGTTCACGTCTCGTGGCGAGAGATTTGTGTACAAAACGTGGAGTGTTTCATGTCGGCCTTCCGGGTTTAAGGATGGTTATCAACCCACTTAGCCAATAGAAGAACTTTACTCTTATTGGGCTTCCTTTTTTGGGTCTCTATACTAAAGTTTGAATCTTTATATATCTGGTTATTGGGGAAGAGGGTCTATGTTTAAGCGCAAGAGTCTTGAGCTGGTTGCAAAGAAACATGCAGCTGTGCATCCCATTGTTGTGTTTCTTCAACTTTTAGTCCCCTTAAATAGATAGAATATGGGGTACATGGGGATGTTATTATAATATATGCAAAGCCTTATTCTATCTACTTAAGGCGGACTATAAGCATAGGCCCTTTTCATTCGACTCAATCCCATGAAGACGTAATTGTTTGAGATAAAAGGCTTTGTAGCTGCGGCTTTCGCCAATTTGCTGCATGCAGGCTGATCCTAAATCATCATGCTTTTCTAGTTTGTCAAGGTTGTAGGAGATCGGGAGTTTCTCCAGACAATTCCCACAGTATCATTGAAGCGAGGCGGCTATAATGTTTTTCATGTTCCCTGATACCCGTAGGTTCCAACATGGCTCCACTTTTAGAAACCAGCACTCAGTGGCAAAGTCGAGGAAGGCAATGCAACCGAAATTCATGATGTCCCTGAGCTTCAGCTCTACCTGAACCCCAAAAGTATGTAGAACAATGGCCCTTTGGGCTATATTTAGGTGTTTTGGGCTATTATTTTACCTACTGTTGGGGTCCAGATAAACTTTAATCCTAAAACCCAACCTGCAGGAAGGATGTTATGCCCGAAGCCCTCATCCGCTGCTTAGCTGAGGAAAATGTAAGCTGGGATGGCAGCCTATTCTCGCTGACATTTTCTGACGGTTTCAAGATGATGTGCAGCAAGCTGGTCAATGCTGCAGCCCGGCATTTGAAAATTGCTGCAGCTATCGTTGAACCTTTTTGCAGAGAGCCGCTTATGGAGAGGACATGTTTTTGATTGAGTCTGTAGCAAACATGAGGCTAGAAAAATGTATGTTTTTTTTTGATTTGTACCTTCAAAAGTGTTTCTGAATTTCTGACACCCGCCAAATATAGGCAGCACTTCAGGATAATGTTTAATCTCCATTCTTGCTTTTCGCAAGGAAAATGAGGGAGATTACCAACCTCATTCTGACGTCTTTTGGAGGTACCCTGTACTGTAACAATGCAAAGAACATGGTGCCATACTACTGGTATAGAAGCCTGAATAATCATCAACAGTATGGCCCCATATTCATTGTATAATTGTAGTATAGGGTACCTCAAATAGACCCCCAAATGATATTGGTAATGATTTGGGCAGCATCATCCGTCTAAAGCCCTACATAAACCCAGTTTCTATTTCACTCCATTTCATCTTCCGTTTTTGGACGGAATTCTCTTTTATTGGTGCACAAGTCCACCTAAACCTCAAGCCGCGTTTAGACCAATTGGCCTTGAGTTAGCTAGGAATGAAGGAATGGATCCTTACAGTAGTCCCTACATAACCCATTATAGCAGTTTCCATTTTCTTTTCCATTCCGTCAGTCCCAGCTAACCGCACACCAGTTTAGGGCTTTAGACCCTAAACCCCAAATCCTAAAGCTCAAACCCTACAGCCTAAACTCTGAAGCCTAAACTCTGAAGCCTAAACTCTAGATCCTAAACCCTAAATCCTAAACTCCGAACCCCAAACCCTAAATCCTAAACTCCGAACCCCAAACCCTAAATCCTAAACCCCGAACCCCTCTAGCCAAAGGCAGGGCTCCATGCTGGACAGCTGGCCCAGACTTTTGTGCCAGTCGACAAGGCGTTCGGGGAGTTGCCTTGCTTCAAGGTTTTATGTCCTGAGCTCTTTCCTTTAAAGGGGTTAAGTTAGGGTTTAGGAGGGTTTAGGGGTTATGTAAAGGGCTTAGGGCTTTGGGTTTAGTGTTTAGGGCTTTGGGCGTCTACTTGCGCAGGAGTATCCATGCGCCGATGGCAGCACCCCACTTCCAGGGATCTGTGTGTGGCGGCACATGCTGCCCAGAAGCCAGCGAAACTGGGCTTTCTTCAAAATCCCCACCCGCTGTGAGACATGGGCCTCCAGCAGGTTCTCAGGACGGCCCCTGCAGCTGGGGGCCAGGACCCGCCCAGGAGGCCCCCTGGAAGGAGGCCGAAAATCTGGCAGCGTACATTGTATATATTTGGCCCACGGGCTGTATACGCCCATTCTCCATAGGCTCCTCCCATTGTCTTACCCAGTACGGGTGTAAAGGCTGACGTGTATCTTCAGTGTTTGACCACCCTGGTAATGGGCAGGCCGTATGGGAATTTAGGTTCCAGGGACCAGGTTTGTATAGGGTTGGGGTTTGGGGCCCAGGCTTCCCTTTCCATGCGCAGAGGCTTGCGGGTATAGTATAGGGGCATATGGGGTTGGGCTCTCGCCCTCCTCGCAACAACGTGCAACCCAAGTGCCTGTACAAAGATTACCTTGTGAAAGAGGCCCCTATTCGGTCTTT